ACATGTATAACAATACATTTAAATCCAAGAAGGACAGTACATTATACTTTTTGACAATGTCGTACACTGCCGGTCGTGTGTTCAATTCAACGTCGCCTCTGGAATTTCTTACCCTCTCCCCTAAACAATATTCTGTTCAATGTTCTTTTATCAACGTATGTAAAAAAAGTAACACCATTAAAAAAATATTTTTTAGTCAGTTTAGTTCTTCTGCGACTATGTAAAAAAATACTGTGTCTACTGCATTGCAGACACAGTAACACGCAGAGAGAGAAATTGGTATATAGGTAGAGAGAGTGAGAGAGAAGAGAAAGATGTTGGGATTATGAGTGGATACTTTAAGTCTGATTGTACTTTATTTGACGTTATTTTGTGTTCTCGCATACACTAGACCATCCCTTAGTAGGTCGATTGGCCATGATTAAGTCTGCTGTTAATTAAATTAAGGTCATTAATTATTCAGGTTATAAATTTAATTAAATAATGCGGTTTGTTGTAATGAAAAAACAAAGACTTTATTGATTTTTTTAAATTCATTATTACAAACTAATACAAATTCTTAATTGAATATAGAACATTTTTGCACATTTGTTAACTGCGAATTTAAATGCAGAAATGATAACTATTCAGAAATCGTGAGATCCGGTCTGGTGTGATGTAGGTTTCAGAAAAATATTTTCTTTATCGTGCCAACGTTTCGATCTTTATTGAGATCATCTTCAGGGCGTGGGATTTACAAACATTGTTTAAATTTAACAAAACCATGTAGGATTTGGAAAAAAAGTGAATTTATACAATGCAAAATATATTTTTTATATTCAATCAAAGTTTTTCTACTCTCTCAAAGTGTTTGTTTTCTGTGTAATTGTGCCATTCTTGCGTGTCGTGATGAGAGTGCAGTAAGATTTTGCTGTTTTATGTTTATATACGTTGGATTTTGAAGGGGTGGGGAAGGAAGTCGGTATAGAAAAGACATTTTTGTATAAGGCTACCCACCATTTTGAACACCAAGACAATTTCGACTTCAAAAATCTAAAAATATTACATACAGAACNACGACACACAAGAATAAGAAAACAAACATTTTGAGCCCTGAAGATGATCTCAATAAAGATGGAAACGTTGGCACGATAAAGAAAAGGTTTTTCTAAAACCTACGTCATACCAGACCGCATTTTACGATCTCCAAATAATTATTAACTAACGGTCACTAAACACCACAAATTAAAATTATATTTGTTGAACAAAGATTAAGGCAACATGTTGGATTTTGTTTTTATTTCACCTTCCTTAGGGTTAGATTCTCTGTCAGTACTTAGAATTATTTTCTCTTATCAACATGTATAAACATTTTTTCTCCCTTTTTGTCATTTCTTATACTAAATACAAAGTTTTTTAATAAATAAATAAATGCGTATAAGAAGGCGTATAAACAAATTTTTGTATAAGAAATGATAACGTAAAAGATGCCATTTACAGAAAACATCATTATGTTGTTTTTACAAAAGTGTTATATATATTTCAATTTTAAAAAGTTAGGCTTAAAATAAATGAACATTTAGTTGTATTTAATTTATATTGAACAGATTTGTTAAAAATCATCTAAATTTTCTCTCTGTGATGAATGAGCTTTAATTTTTAGAATATAGATTTTTGTCAATTATACAATTTCAACTCTGTATTATGATGAACTAAGTAGACTTTAAATAGGAGAATTGAAAGCTTTTAAAGCTAAAACGTAAAAAACGTCGTTATTGAACTAAATTATCCCTGAAAATTATTAACAAGGTGTAGATCTTTCTTTTTCCACTTTGATTTTCGCTTTTCCAGAAAGCCTTTTCCGCCGCCGCTTGGAGTATTATGAGGATGAAGAAGGGAGGTCCAATTAGGTTTTAAAAGGAGCCGCGTAATTAAAAATAAACTAAGCGACAGTTACGCAACTGGAAGGTCCAGAACACACTTCATTATTTTATACAGGGAAATTTATCGCTGTAAGCCCGAGGGGAGGGTCTTCTTTTAATTAATTCCAAATCTAAATGATTATAATATCCCCCACCGCGTCGGATAAAATCCTAGAGACTTTTCGGATTTTACAGTATCAAATCTAGGTCAATTTAATTAATTACAATATTGCTGAATTCTGTTGGTGCCGTGCTGGGGAATTGTTTGAACCAGGCAACTAATGGACTTTTACAAGTTTAATCAGAATGTGTCTATTCTTCGATCGTATGGCCAATTGGGACGGGAGAAAAACGTAATAATAAAATATTTATTATACCGATAAAAATTATACAGGGCTTAAAATCAAGTCTAAATTAGATCGTGATTATAATCGGTTTTTGTTTAAATTCAGGTCAATCAGGCTGAACAGTACATTGGAAAAAATTAATCTTTTTATGTAAGGTTTTGGTTGAAATAAAAACGTTAGTGCCACGAGCGGGATTGATTGATAGCTCAAGTGATCAGGGGCGTTTGAGCCGAAGGTCGTGGGTTCGAATCCCGCTCGTGGCACTAACTTTTGCATTTCGACCAAAACCCTCACGTAAAAAGATTAATTAATTGAAACGAGTAATTTGGTCAATAGACCACGAAATATAATGGACTGGAAAAAATAACACCAGGGTGTCCCCCAGGTTTGTCAAAAACTACTCGTTTTATTACTAAACCGTAATTTTTTACTAGTTCTACTTTCAAACATTGCTATAACAATAAAAATGGTTATGCTTTGAGTATATTAATTCAATAGTAGAAAAGTCTAGTCATAAACTGGTTTTGTAGTGATCCGGATTTTGAGCAGTAATCCTTATAATCGGGCTTCCCAGCTTATCTACAATCTATACTGTATGCGTCACAATCTGCGTAATAATAATTCGATTATAAGCTTAAACGACACAGGTAAAAAAGTGATATAAAGAAAATCTATTATAGTGTGAAAAAATTATGCATGGCCTCAAATCATCCCAAACATTAGGACATGTGTTTAAGCACTGCGTAATTTTTTCTTCAATTCAGGTTAATCATACACTGAACGGTACATTTGGAAAATACGTCAGTTTTTACCCATAGATGATCTAAGCCAAAATTTATTCATTTACAAGGAATATTTTCTGGTTTATTCAAAAACTAATCACCGTATAAAAAATTCTAATATTAAACAGTATATTTTTTTTGTAGCAAGGTAGTAAAATGGTCTTTCTTTATATCGTTTTGGTCAAATGGTGAAAAGATAAATAAAAGAAAGAATGTCTTCTTCTTCCACACATTGAAGACAAAAATATAGCCAATGCTTTTAAGTCAAAAATAAATTTTTCTTTAGGTAAAATATTTGATGGCGTTAAAGTAGTATAATTGCCCAACGCTGCCCAATATTAATTTTTGACATAAATCAATGGTGAAGTTTGTTTTGCAGTATAATTACAAGAAGTAAGTGATACATTTTTTACAATATATACAATATCTAAAGTTTTTCTAAAGTAATCTTGACTTCGCTTTTGCCATTTTTCATAAAATAAAACAAACTTGATGAATCTGAAAAAAAGGTGTAGACTACGGCTTAAAAGAATTTGTTTTTAAATTATAATTGTTGCAATCCTTGAAAATAGAACATAGGCTGAAAAAATTGTTTGAATTTTTTTAGGTTAGTTTCTAAGAAAACCAGGGATCACATTAGAAATTTGCCACCCTGAGATTATGTTTTGTGACTAATGACAATCAAAGAAATTATTAGTAACAGTACGAAATTAATAGTAAAAGAGCAAAAATTAAAATCTAGAAAATAAAGAGGAATTTCCGGGCATTGTGTTGAACATATTAATAATTTAAAGTAGTCGCTCGATCAATTAAAACATGATACTATATATAAATTATCAATTCCAAATATTTAACATTATACTGCTCACATTAACAGTCTGGATTGGATTAAAATAATTTATAACGGCAGGCTGTAATTCTTGCCATTATAGATTATTTTAATCAGATCCAGACTGTTAATATGAACAGCATAAGGATAAATATTTGGGATTGATCATTTTTATATAGTGTGATGACTAGATCATTTGAAAAAAAAGTTGGGTGCAGTTCATACTACCGGCAAATTCCAAATTTTTGGTTATATAAGGCTGTTGAATTTGAATAAGGTGGAACCGATTAAAAAGCATTTTTGTTTAAATAAACAATAGGCATTTTCAAAAGATTTATGTATTTGTAATGATGCATGAACTAATAAAATAATAGAACCAGAATTTTGTGTAACACGTATTTTTATTTTTCTACTGTACTATTCAAACTATTTAATAACATTATTATTTTAACTGTTTTTGTGCTTTAAACAGCAATATATTTTGGTAAAATACAGCAGTCCATGGAATCTTTTCGATTTTGTCCCCGTATGTTAATGCTATGTTTTTAATAATAGTCAGAACATCACGGTATACGCCCCAAGTGGTGGAGCAGCGGCGTATCTAGCCGAAGATCGTGGGTTCGAATCCCACTCGTGACACTGACTTTTTTATCTTAACTAAAAACCTTAATTAATTGAAACTTATGTAGAAATTGGCTCCTTACTGAATATATTGAACCATAGAGGTTTTTTCATTTCATTTCATATAAATAATTTCAAATTAATTATTTTTCTTTTAGAAGATTAGCTACTGAACTGAATCAGTTTATTTTGTTCACTTAGAGATATTTTGCTGAATCAATTTTGCGAATCGAGAGTTTAATACAAATTATCGGACATTCCGTATAAGTATTAGTTGCCTATTAAAATAAAGTTAAATTATGGGAAATTAAAAAAAAATTCTAAACAGAAAGTTTAATTATTCAAATAAAGATACTGCACTAGCCGAGGTTGCTTTTGTTTTGATTATTTTTGTATGAAAGTGGAACCTATTCGATTTTGTCCCCGTATGTTAATGCTATGTTTTCAATAATAGTCAGAACATCACGGTCTACGCCCATTGAAACATGAAGCATGAATTATTAATAGAACATGAGCTTACCTTTGTACGGATGTGAGTGACCTAGCGGCACGTACGTATGGAGATATCGGGTATCTCTGGCAAACTGACTCTATCTAAACTGGTTTTGGCTTTATGAATGTATTTGCTCCACCCTCTTTTATCTCATTCAAACAGATACATCAACACCTGAGCTCATATCTCGTTAACGTCATCGTTGCATTATTTCCAATGAATCTTTACGCTTGGGGGGGTTTCTTTTCAAGGATTAAATCCCCATATCGGCGAAAACCGCGAGACCGGTGCCCGGCAAAATTGAATTAGACGAGTTCTTTATAAATAAAACACGGGGAAGGAAAAGTGTTCGACCCGTCTTATCTACGGCGTACGTGACTTTCCGGGATATAAGCCATTCGACTCGCGTGTGACACTCCCTTGAAAAAACCTAAGCTCTTAGTCACACGAAAAATCATAACTTAAAAATAACTACGTTTCAAATCATCGTTTCAGTTCATCAATTATTTATATCTTGTACGTGCTTACGTTTTTTTATTCCTTTACCGACGGTCTGTTGGCCTTTGTTTAAAGCGATGAACATTATTTTCTTGAACCATTGTCCTAATGACTAGTACTTCAATATATGAATAAAATTGATGATTGGTTTTGGTCTGCGAGTCGGCGAACTCATGCTGAACCGGCACAGGGTCACTTACTGGGTCTGTCTCCACTCGCGGGTTTGTGAGTTATTCAAACGCGTTTCCGCATTGCGCCATCTTCAATGAGGAACTGTCTGACACTTTTTCTGACTGCTATAGCACTACATACACTGTTATTATCTAGCGGGTCAGTTGTGTTTATGTTTATTTTTAGCCGTTTACCTGTGTTATTGATGGTCCCAGTGCTATTTTTAGGTCGAGTTTGTTGAACAAGTTCATTAGTCTGTAGGTGCCTGTTGTTGATTTGTTTCGTTGTTTTTTAGGGTTTTTGGATGGATTCTATTCGTGTACGGTCCTAGAGTAAAATTTATTTTAACTTTATAAAATTGCTTGTTTTTTTCGTTTAAATTATTACAAAGTTTATATCTGAACAAAATTATAAATTGCAATTTATTCATAGTTTTCTATTGCCTTTAACCACAGAAAATCTATTTATTCATATTAAATTATAATAAAAAGATCAGCGGTAATTTATTTTATAACAGAATGTATATTTGGAATAAGAATGATTTTCAAACATTCTAAATTGACGAGGAAATAGAGTTTTTTTTTTAACAAAGTCTAACGTTTTTCACAACCAAATTGTCTAAATCTATCTTTTTAGCAGTTTACCTGTGTTATTGATGGTCCCAATGCTATTTTTAGGTCAAGTTTGTTAAACAAGTTCGTTAGTTTGTAGGTTTCTGTTCTGTTGTTGATTTTGAGTCACTTATTTAATAAATAATAAACGATTAAAGACTGAAATTTAGTATAACAATATTTTTGTCAATTTATCTTTCTTAGGTACATTTCCGACCTGGACTATAATTATTTTTTCTTTATCAGACCCATTTTGAGCACCAGCTGTAATTATTTAATTACATTGTCGTTTTACAACAGGAAAAAAATTATTGCAACAATTATCCAATTTTTAAATTGATGTTATTGTAAAAAATCGTGTTGCGACAGTAAAAGTTATTTTTATTTTATGAAATAATATATTTTGTTCATTTAAGCAATTATAAAATTTGCAACAATTTTTATTTAATTGTTATAATAATCAAGCTGTAACAATCAAATGGACTTGATGAATCAGGATTTGTGTGCATAACATCAAACAAACGCCGTTTTATGAAACTTTTTGATAATATATTTATACTCTAAAACTCTCAAAATGTTTTCATTACCCTATTTTGTAAATTAATAATTACCTAAAACAACGAGGTATGGATCTGACACTTTAATAACTTAAATTTTCTATTCCCTCACCGAGATAACCTGAAAATGACGTAATATATAATAGAACGGAGTGCACAAACTTGTTTTACACTCAAATAAATTGTTTTTAAGAGCCAAAACAATACTTGAAATGTAGTAGGCTTTTCTTGAAATCGTTAGTTCCGTCTTTTTTTAAATCTTTATTTGTATTCTCCCGACATGTATGACATGTATTCCGCCTCACCTCTTCAGTCTTATTACAAATAAATATATTACAAATTAACGTATGTTTTATTATGATGATGATTATGTTTAATTATTTGTAATATGTGTATTCTTTCGAGCACCTACCTTGATTTATTTGTTGCAACCCACAAAGTCTACTTGTTTCTTGAAGAAAAATCTACTTCACGTGACCCAGCCCGTAAAAACCCACCTAGATAATTTTTTGTGTGTGCTTTTTTTTTGAAGATTTTTGTCAATTGTTCAGCATGACAGAAAATATTAGAGCTCCCGATAATTGTTTTAATCCGATAAATTTAGCTGTTGTTTTGTATTTTAAAATAAAGTTTTATCATTTGGAAACAGTAAAAAAAATTACGAAATTAACGATAGTGTCATCATGATTGATTATAATTTCCTGTTTTTATTGTAAACTAAAGTAATTATTTATTTAGAAATCGTGAGATGCGGTCTGGTGTGATGTAGGCTTCAGAAAAACATTTTCTTTATCGTGCCAACCTTTCGATCTTTATTGAGTTCATCTTCAGGACTCAACGTGCTTGTTTTTGTATAATTGTGCCATTCTTGCGTGTCGTGTCGTGATCACCACATAAAGTAATTATTTTAACACAATTGATCAAACTTGTAACAATTTCTTAACAATGAATTGTAGATTGAATATTTTAGAAAAAAATAAAAAGGTATTTAATTATTTGTTATTAGTTTTATATTAGTACTTTTTTTTAAATCAGAACCTTAAAGGAATGTAGAAACTGTTCTGTTACAATTTTTATATTTTTCCTATAGCATATGGAAAAATTAATGTGTGAATTCTCAAGATGTGAAATTTTGTTTTTCAGTCTTTCTCAACTGATTACGTTTTTTCGTAAATGAGATTTCATTTTTGTAAATGTACGTCTATAATAGATATACTATGATGATTTTTAGTTACTTAAGCCTTCCTCCAAATCACTTGTAATGTGATAACGTACTTTATAAAATTCCCAGTCCTTTTGTGCCCCTAAAACGAATCCTCCTCTTTTTTCCTTTTATTCCTTTGCTAAATTGAGCCCAAGTGCAATTTATTCCCGGTGTATTTTCGTTATCCTTCCGGAAAATTTGAACGGAAAGATCTGTCCCCTTTTCATACTTTTTATACACAAGGTTTTTCCTGTTCTTTCCTGACGGATAGTGTAAAATGAAGAGTCTTGTTCTAGTCAGTGGAAACAGGTCAGGGTTGACGTTACGTATAAGTTAGTAGGAAATCCATTAAGCACGGTTGTTCGTCTCATACAATTACTTTACACAGCGATGTTTTGTTAATTGGCTGATATACTTTGTAGTTACTTAACTTTACTGACCGCCAGATGTTGAATCATAACCAAATAACCGTCGTATTAAATATACACCATGAAAAGATACAATCTGTAAGTTAATCTACCATTTATACCCATTTATATATATATANATAGTAATTAATTTAAAAAAACAGTTCTTATGAATTAATTAATACTGTCAATGCCCAACGGGTTTGGGATACAAGGTCGACACAACCTTCATTTTTTCGTTCAGCCTTGGAAAAGCTTTTTTACAAAATGTCATTTCAAATCTTTGCCTCCTTATTTTAGGTATATTTGACTATAAAAGTATTTATTGTTATCATTGGGAGATATGCTTATAAAAAAAGTTATGTAATTTTGAGATAATCACTTAAGTGTACACTTAAGGACTGACGTGAATCGTGAACAAACCACTTACAACCTATATGTGCATTACGAATAAAATTTCTATGAATGTGTGTTATGTCCTTAAGATTGTTAAGAGTTGACGAGTATTTTATAAAAGGATGCTTGTATCAGATTTAATGTTTTTTAATAATAAAGCATTCTGTGTTATTAATTAGTTTCATAAATAGTGTAAATTTTAGCTACACTAGTTAATTATTTTTGCTTTTTACTTGCTTCTACAGTAAATTAATTGTTACCGGTTCCTCCTCGAACCGTTGACAGTCTACCACGTCTCCGGTACCTGGGGATCAATAGAGATTTTTCATGTGGCTGTTTCATTTTCAAAAAAATTAAATAATCGCATAATTCGGGAAACAGCGAACCCTCCGGATGAGGTATATATAAAAAAAATAAAATAAAATAACAATGTCTTCTATATTTGAAAAAAAGGAAAGGGTAACCAAACAAACTATTTTCGGTCAGAAAAATTGCGTAAAAAAATGAAACAAAAAGGCCGAACCTTGTCTTGGTCCTTTCCTCTCTTCACAGCTCGGTTCTCCCTTCGCACACGCGAACTCTCCGCTCTAAAACGGCAAGAAGAAAAGTCCTCGGATAAAAAACAAAAACAATCGAATTCTTTTTCTCTTTTTCCTCGTCCACACCGACGTGTTCAAGCTCGAGCCTCGCGGGCGGGGCCCCACTCCTCGCCGGTGTCCACGCGTCTTCGGCTTCTTTTCGCCCCCGTTCAACCTTGCCGAGGGCACACTCCTATCCGGCCTGAATCTGGTTGAGGTTTTTTCTATCTGAATCTTAAGGTCTTTTACATGCCATTGGCCTAAGCTGTGATTTTCTTCGTTCTCCAACTCAAAGATCTATGGAAACCGTTTGCTCTTAACCCTAGCTTTAGAGAAGCGGAAGCCAACTTATTGCAGACATATCTGGCGGCGTCTGATTGGGCATAGTTGTGACACCATACCTTCGGTCCCTCAACGTACTCAACCTGGCGTCTCCTCATACTATAGACCCTCCAGGACCTCTCGTAAGCCTGATCTAGCGTGACCTGCATTTTTCGGAAGACGGTCGGTATTTGTTGCAATCTTCAGATCGAACGGCTCCCGGAGATAAATAGTTTTTTACGCTAAAATAGTTTTCTTACCTACCATCTGTTTTTCATTTTTTATTACGATTTTTATTTATTAAACAAAATAGGGCAAGCGAAATCGCTGAGAGAGCAACTTCGTCCATCATTTTCCGCTTAGAACTGCCTCGCAACATGAATCAAGGTGTATACAAGTTTTTTTATTGCGTTGCAGTGTCTGAGCTGAGTCCAATATCTATTCAGTGTAGATTTTGAATCTCGAAATTAATCGACTCATAGTCCCGTGTGTACTATGCTGAACCGAAACAAGCCTCGGTAGGGACTGTAAA